CCAAAATCAGGAGACAGCCCCCCAACTGACTGAGCAACCCAGGTGCCCCAGTGGGAGGGTTTTTCTTTTTAAAGGGGCAGAGGGAACTAAGGGAGTGACCTTAGGAAAATCTGAATCTTGCCCTCACCTCCCCTTAAGGGCTTATCCAAAGCTGAAGGGAATAGTAGATCTCCCCTCAACACCCATGGCAGGTTTAGGGATCTAGGGAAAGACAAAACCTATGCACATGACCAGGCATTAGTGCAAGACCCTTGAGAAGCAGTCACGCCTAGTGGAGATAAAAGCTGACTATCAGCAAGAGAACCCACAGTTTCCTGAATGTGGGTATGGGTAAAGGTTCAGGAGAGTATGTAAGAAGGACTAATATTTGGGGCAAAAAGGAACAGAAGAGTGTCAACTGCCAACTAGAGACTGATAGATAACAGATCTCATTAAGTACCTCATGATGGTGGGGGAGGTCATAGCTGAAGATTAGCTGGAATGTTCATATCTTACCGCAGTCGTAACAAAATATCACAGATGCGGAGGGAGGAGCTTAAAACAACAGAACTCTATTCTGTTACAGTTACTGAGGCTACAAATCCAAAATCAAGATGCTGGCAGGACTATGCTCCCCTGAAGGTTCTAGGCAAAAATTCAACCTGTTGGCTGGTGGCAATTCTTGCTGCTCTTTGGCTTTGGATCATGCCAAACTCCACCTCTGTTGTTGCATGACCTTCTCTGGGGGTGTATCTGTTCTTATGTCCTTATACGGCCTTCTTTTTTTTTTAAGATTTTATTTATTTGAGAGAGAGAGAGAGAGTACAAGCAGGGAGAGCAGCAGAGGGAGAGGGAGAAGCAAAGGGAGAAGGCTCTACTGAGCAGGGAGCCCAATAAAGGGCTCCATTCCAGGACCCCAGGATCAGGACCTGAGATGAAGGCAGATGCTTCCCCGACTGAGCTACCCAGGCGCCCCTCATATGGCCTTCTTATAAGGACATAGTCAATGGATTTGGGACCTACTCTATTCTAACATGATCTTACTTTAAGTAATAACATCTGTAAAGATCCAATTTCCAAATAAGGTTACATTATGGGGTTCTGGATAGACATGGATTTGAGGACACTCTTCCGACCAGTACAGCTGGGACAAAGGACATCTTAGGAGATCCTGGTATAGAACTGAGACTGGCCATTATCCCCTTCACCAGGAAGGATGCTAAATTGTGCCTGGGAATGATTGGGTGTGCCTGGAATTAACCAAGGTTATACTTTTTACTATGAAGTGAAATGGGTCATATAAATACAAGTTGAATTACAGAAAAACTTAGGAAATTAAATGTAGTACAAATCTGTATGTGGCTTGAAAATATTGCTCCTGCTACCTATGTGAAAGATGTATACAAAACAAAACAAAAAAAGTTATGATAGGGTAGTGAAATGACGAATGGATCTTTCTGTAATGATGTCAGACTGTTGTGTTCAAACTGGAAGAATGATGCTTGTCATTGCCTGGAGGTGGCAGAGGTAGTGTTACCTAGCAAGGCTTGGGCATGTCCCTCTGGAAGCCAGAGTTCCCAGAATTTTCTCCTCCTATGGCCTGGGCCATGTTCTAAACCTAGGAAAAGATTAATACATGTGGCCAATTGATTTTGGAAGTTCCATGTGAGAGTTGCTAATAAGCAGCCATGTGACTCTGGGTAAGTCATATTCCCTCTCTGGGCCTTTGTTGTTCTTTCTGTGAAATAAAAGAATTAGGCTTAACCATCTCCAAAATCACTCCCAATTTGTTGATTCTGTGATTCTTTGATTTTAGGTATAGGTATAGGTATAGGTATAGGTATAGGTATAGATATAGTGTGTGTGTGCATGTGTGTCTGTGTGTAAACAAAGGTCAGAGTGCTGAGGGACAGAGCCAAGATGGTCTTTTCTGGGGATATGGCCCCAGCCTCAATAGTAGATCTCTGGGACATATCCAGAGCTCATGTTTACCTTTGCTGCCTCTTCTTTCCTTTCCTACCCACCTCAGAGGTGGGTAGCTTTCTGTGATCTTAACATCTTCACCACCATTCATAAACAGAATTAATAAATGGAATGCTAAATGGGCACTAGGCATTGCTAAGCACTTTAAATGCATTATATATTTCATTCATTCATTTCAGTGATGTTACCGAACTCATTTAAAAAAAATTTTTTTAAAGATTTTATTTATTTATTTGACATAGAGAGAGAGACAGTGAAAGAGGGAACACAAGCAGGGGCAGTGGGAGAGGGAGAAGCCAGCTTCCTGATGAGCAGGGAGCCCAATGTGGGGCTTGATCGCAGGACCCTGACCTGAGCTGAAGGAAGATGCCCAAAGACTGAGCCACCCAGGCACCCCTACCAAACTAATTTTACAGATGAAAGAAATAAAGCTTAGGAAAGCCCAATATCACTGTCAGTAAGGAGAGGAGCCAGGATGTGAACTCATGTCTGGCTGATTCCAGGAGTGCATGCTCGTACACATGAGTCCCAGAGAAAAAGTACCACTGCTTGAAGATCATGAAGTGTTACACACAGAAGGACTTAGGCTGATCTCTGCTGAGGCCTAATGAGAAAACTGTCAGGGTCTCTAAAATATAAGCCCAGACCCGGACAAGACCTGATTGCCTCAAACAGGCATGGCTTCTGGATGCAGACCAGGCTTCCCTAGGAATGGTTCTCCCTTGGCCTTGCCACCCTAGTTTTACTCACACTTCCTGCCTGAGGTCCATTAGGCCGGAATGTGACTTTTGTTATCAAGGCACAGATCTGCGTCGACACTGCCATGCTATTTATTCAGCCTCATGTGCTAGACATCTTGCCTTTTCCTGATGAGTTCCTAGAGCTCAGGGCCCCAAAAAGCTGAGTAGGCTTTGTCAAGCACACATACAAGCTTGGCAAGACCCAGGCCTGACTGAGTTAGCCAGTAAAAATACAACGAGCCACCTTAGATTCAGATAGTTTATTACTCACCTATACAACGAAAGAACGAATGCATTAAGGTGCTGATGGCCAGTAGTCCTTGTCCCACAAATCATAACAGAGAATATTGAAACAGAAGGGGCCAGATGTAAGTTGTGGGATAGCCAGCTGCTGAGAAAGAAGCCTGTTCTAGATGGCAGCCAAGTGATTCTTATATTCTGCAACTCTGTTCTGAGGGGGTAGGGCAGAAAGCCCACACCTCATCAGAACCTAGGAGATGAGAAGCTATCAGGGGACAGTGCCCTAAGATCCTCATAAGCCTCCCATCCTCTGCTCTTCTGGGGGGATCACAAAGCCTTCTGCTAAGGCTCAGAAAAGCTGTGGTTCGAGGCCCATTGAGACCTATGTAAATACACGCAAGGTTGCGAGGGTACATGTTGGAGATATTCCCCTATAGCTTTCTCTGGTTTGAGGCTTTTTAAGCTCACCAGAGAGAAAAATAAAATTGAAAACCAAGGAATCTGATCTAGACCAATCCATAATTAGCCAAGTGACTTAACCTCTCCAGAGACTGTTTTTTTTTTTTTTAATCCATAAAATCATACATTTTTGTTGTTGTTGTTGTTCGGTTGCCTTTTGTGAGGACTTTTTCCTCTTACTAGGGTGTAAACTGCACACAGGGATCTTGTCTACTTTATACACTCTTGCAGTCCCAGTGCTTAGAACAGTGATAAGCACATGGCAGCGATTCAACAAACACTTGGTTGAAGGACGTGAACTGCAGGATATTATGTTGTATTCTGTTAGTATGCGCATGTGCATTCAAAGCCTTAAACCCTACTTGCAGGTCCCTTGCAGAAAATTCACAGAGGGAGTCCCAGTGAAAATGACTGTACTTTTCTTTTAAGGGAGCCCAGCTAAAAAAAGCCTCAAAGTGAGTAACTGTATAAGGAGGAATGGAACGTGGCACCCAAATAGATCTTTTATTAGTGCCATTATAATAAATTCTAATGACACACACCTCTGGCATACTGCTCTTTGTAATAATAGAAAAGGGGGGAGGCCCCTCTTTTCCATTCCTCCGTTCTACACCTGCCACTATCCCAATCATCCACAGGTTCCCTTTTTCTCAGCCAATGCATGGTGTAAAATAGGACAAAGTTATGGGTCACGGACCTACCCCTTATTGTCATTGTAGCAAGTCACTCCCTTCCCTGCCCTAGGCCCCACTTTCCTCATCTTTGTGTGTTACTGTGACACATACGGTATTTCTCAATTATAACTAATCTGTTATGTCTCTTCTACTGATAAGTCATGGCTCAAAGAGACTGAGTGACCTGCTAAAGATTACTAATTAGTATGAGAGCCAAGCTTTCTGACTCCAAGTTGAGGTTTCTTTCCACCACAGCAGTGAGCTGCTTAGAAGAACTCCCCCCAACCCCCCATCCCCACCCCAAGGCCTTGGTCCGTCGGCTTTGTTATCTCTACGAAGGGGCAGGGATTTTCGCTGGCTCGCTCCTTGCTCTAATCTCAGCTTCTACAACTCTACCTGGCAAATAGCGGGCACTCAGTATATATTTGTTGAATGAAAAAAAAAAATGATTAAGTAGAGGCGCGCCACAGTGCGTCCTGCCATTTCTAGCAAGTCTCTGCCTCTTTCTGGATTTCACCGGTCCCCGACCTCTGCTGTCCCTGCCCCGCGCACGCTTCGTTCCTCCGGCCACTAGACTGCACTGTGGCAACGCACCCCACTCAGCAGGGAGCGGCGCCCTTCTTGGCCCCGCTGAGCCTTGGCTGGTCGGAGGGCGGGGCGCGAGGAACCGGAAGTGCCGGAGCGCAGCAGCCGCCGCCGCCGCCGCCGCCGCCGCCGCTGCCGCTGCCGCCGCCGCCTTTAAGTGCCGTGTTCAGCGCCTGGGTTACCACCGGCTCGGTCGCCGAGGAAGCCGCCGCAGCGGGGTCGGGAGTGGAGGCGGCGCGGCATGAAGCGGCGCAGGCCCGCTCCGTAGCACGCGTCGGGACGCTCCGGGCGGGGCCGGGGGGGAAGGTGCAGTATCCGCCCCCTCTCCTTCCCCTTCGCCCGCGAGGCCTGGGCCCCAGCCCGGCCGCCCCGCTCCGCCTCACGGAGGAGCCGCCCGGCGCGCTCTCCGGGTTAACCCGGTTTGCGGTTTACCCGGCGCGCCGCCCTGCGCGGGTCCGAGCTGGTGGCTGGGCCCCCGCTTGCCGGAAGAGGAAGCCGAGGCTCCGAGATTCCGAGTCCACCAACGTTCACTGGGCGCTCCCTGAACGCTGGGTGCTGGCCTCCGGACTTCCACGTCCGTTACCTTAATTGAGCCTCGCTGGGGTTGGGAGCCGGGTATTGCCCGGGCTTGCAGATGAGGAAACGGAAGCCCGCAGAGCCGAAGGGATCTGCCTCAAGTTCGACTGTGGCGGATCGGATTCGGACTGAGATTTTTCTGATTTCCCAGCCGGTGTTCTTTTCCTTCCTCCTGCCTCACTCTAGGTCGATTCCCTCCCTGCTCACCGGCCCCTTCTCATTCTATTTCACCCCCCCTCCCCGGGGGACAGGATAGATACATTTCTTTCTCCCACCCCACCTTTCCCCTCACACACTTCTGAGACTTCTAAGACTTGGCATCCCCTCATTCTCAACATTCTCTGTTAGCTCTATCCTCTTCTTCCCCATTCATAGCTTTCAAGATCTTTGCCCCAGTTAGTGATAATGAATCTCTCAACTAGCTATGGACCCTGAAGAGTGAAATAGCTAGGCTTCAATGAGGCGTGGGGTGTTCAACTGGACGACTGCTTGGCTCTTGGATTAAAAATAAGAATGGCAGTTGAGTACGTCCAGATTTGGGAGTTCTGAAGCTATCCTGTAACCCAAGATGCTCTTCTCTGAGTGAGGGGCTTAGTGCATGGGACAGTGTCTTGACATCGTAGTCCATTGTTTTTAGGCTAGCATAACCACTGTCTTCCCTCCATTTGCCCCTGAGCTTTTCTCACCACATCTCTCTCCATCACCTGCTTGGGCTATGAGAGCCCAGAATTAAAGCTGATAACGAAGTAACAAGTGTAATCACAGACCTTTTTTTTTTTTTCTTTTACTAAGCCAGAATTCCAACAACTTAATGCTTCCTTTTATGGAAAAGTTACCTAATTCAGTATTTTCAGACTACAGCTAAAAAGGAGAGGAGCAAAAGTGGAATGCACTTAAAATGGATAGCATATTCTTGGTCTTAGGAAAAAAATGATTAAATGCAAGTTAATTTCCTTTCCACGAAAATGGCTTGTTTTATAGTTCCTTTTGGTTGTTCTCTGAGTCTACTCTGTCTCCAACCAGCTCAATATGTATTATGTAAAGTAATACAAATGTATTACTAATGTAAAAGCAGGAACAGGACCAAGCACACAGAAATAAATGTTAGTAATCAATCATCTGTCATTTTTGAGGATTTGTAATACCCACCTGAGTAACCTCACATTTGTGTGCCTTTTATACTTTGTAAAGTTCTTCCGTAATTGTCCTTTTAATGTACATCTAGATGTCAGGGTTTACACTATTGTTAGGATATCCTTTTGAGTAAATTTAGGGTATACATTTCTGGGATTTTAAAAAAATATAATTTTAATAATCTAAAGTACAGATACAAAATAATTCAGGCATTATATATTACACCAAGAAGAATATTTCTATACTAGTGTTAATATCTATTTGGGACTTTAGATTTACTCTTTTTGGCCTCATATGATCCATTTCAATAATGATCAACAGCCTTATATCTTATTTCATTATCCTGGTGAGCAGGATTGGATGGTGAGAAAAGGAAAGACTCCTGTGAGAAGAGAGCAAGATGAGCAGAGGGATCTATGCTTGAAGTTGAGTCACTTGAAAAAAGGTCTCTTTGAATGTGGAAGAGATCTGAGCAGATGAAAATACAATCAGGTAGGCATGAGGGAAGGGCCTTAAGTGAAGAGGTAGGTGGGGCAGTGACATACATGCACTGTGCTGAAAATGTATGCTGATTCTCTTCTAATTTTTGAAATTAGAACTTTGTTAATGTATTTGAATATATGGTGTTATGGAAATCTGGAACTTAAATGATTTTGTTACACATTTGTGTAAATTACTAAAATATCCTAGAAAACGTGGAATATTCACTTACTATAAGCAGAATAGTAGAATGTCATTTGAACCGTTAAATTTTGTATGTGTGTGTGGAGAGAGACAGAAATAGTCCAAAGACCTAGTACAGTTTAGGGAGAGCAGGTAATTGGCTATTACTGAGTGCGAGCTAATGCAGCTTTGACATAGGAGAGATGTCAAGTTGATGGTAACTCGGGAAGCTGGGCAGTAAGCCTTGTGAAATCTGCCTGCCGAGCTTCCTGGTTCTATTCCCTAGCCTTATTCTTGTGAGCAGTGGTTTGGACATGAAGTTCCAAATTTAACAAATAGGGAGGTGAGGATAATGAGCATGGCTTGCATAGCTTTTTCTCTCAGTTGTCTCTAATTCTGTTAGAAATCAAACTAGATCCACTGACATATTTGATAGAAAGTAGGCCTCCCATTGGCTTTTAGATGGGCAGGCCCCCATGTCCTATACTGCCACTTACTATCCGTGTGCTAAGTAGCAGTTGAGCCAAATGACTTTTTCTCTGCTGAGCTATTTGAATTTTGGTCCTTGGAGGTAAATGCCCAATTATAGTAATGTTACAGGTTGGATACCTAATATAATTCTTGAATGAGTTTTCTGGTCACTTTTGCTACTGTTACATTGAAACTGATAGTATGATTCACTGTAGCATAAAAAAAGACACTATCCTAGCCACACAGTTCAGTTCATTTTGCATGCCATAGTGCTTGCCTGGTGGACTTAATTCGCAACTCCCACCTGCTAATTACTCTTTCTCTATGGTTGGTAGTTACTGTGGACTCTTGTTAACCTGGGAAATTGAGCTTTAAAAAACGACATATTAAATATGCAACCATGCGTTGATTGTTGTTCTAGAAGTAGTTGCATAAATGTAAACTGTTTCTCTCCCAAATCCACAGATTGCTTCAGAATTTTTGTTTGTGTTGCTTCTTTTCGGTAGTTTCACAAATAACGCATTTCAGAATCTCACACAGTGTCTTGTCATAAGAGTTCTTGTTATTTTTTCTGATACATCACTGCTTTAAATGCTGAAATATTGTTTAAATATTGAAAGAGATAAAAGAAAATACATCCTTTTCTGAATTTGTAAAGTGACAAGAAACATCATTAGTAGATGAAATATTGACACTGTTCTGGGGTTGAACTGGGAAATTGGGTTCAGATTTTTATCAGATATCAGTAGTACAAACATTAAATGCTTTTTTTTTTTTTTAAAGATTTTATTTATTTATTTGACAGACAAAGATCACAAGTAGGCAGACAAGCAGAGAGAGAGAGGAGGAAGCAGGCACCCTGCGGAGCAGAGAGCCCAATGTGGGGGCTCCATCCCAGGACTCTGGGATCATGACCTGAGCCGAAGGCAGAGGCTTTAACCCACTGAGCCACCCAGGAGCCCCAAACATTAAATGCTTTTTGCATAAACTTCACCTAATTAAAGCTGCTTGAAGATAGTATCTTTTTTCTCCCATTTAATCATGAAAGTAAAAGTTATATAATTTGAAATAATAGTTACATAAATTATTTATAGTCACCAGAAGTAGTCAGAAGATAGTGATATCTAGGCAAGAGCAGAAACCAAAGAAAAATGTACTACTCAGTTCTATCTTTTGTTGTTTGGAGTTCCACTTAAACAGAAACAGTATTTACATTATCTTGGTAAGTGCCCTAGGAAGCTTATTGCAAGTACATTGTTTGCTGCAATTTTATTACTGTTCTAATTGCTTGTGATTATTTCTGTTAACTGAAGTCAGTGTTTATCAAACGTGTTACTTTTTTAAGTGCAAAAACACTTCACTCCTTGAGCACATTTAGATTCACTATTGACATGCTCTTGGATGGAGCATAGCAGCCAACTGGCATATGGCCTGTTTCCTTCCAGTGTGGGAAAGAAAAAAGGAATTTTTGGCAAGAGATATGTAAGGACAGCCTTTTATAAAAGTTCCTAAAGGGATTTATAGTCACAGTGAAATAGACATGACCTCAATTTTTAAAAAAAATCTCCTTTTTAAACTGAACACAGAGAAGGTGGAGCTATTCCTTTTCTTACTAGGTTTCATTGCAACTGTGCTGAAGAGCATTTTTTTTTTTTCTTGCCCCTTTGGTGGGGGAAGCACTATCAGACTGTCATGCCCGTTAGTATAAAAGAAGGCAGACCTGTGAACAACTTCATGTGCCTTATTTTTCTAGGAAAATGCAACATGGCAGCAGCGATGGAAACAGAACAGCTGGGTGTTGAGATCTTTGAAACTGCAGATTGTGAGGAGAATATTGAATCACAGGATCAGCCTAAATTGGAGCCATTTTACGTTGAGCGATATTCCTGGAGTCAGCTTAAAAAGCTCCTTGCTGATACCAGAAAATATCATGGCTACATGATGGCTAAGGCACCGCATGATTTTATGTTTGTGAAGAGGAATGATCCAGATGGGCCTCATTCAGACAGGATATATTACCTTGGTGAGTATGAAGTTATAGTTTCTGAAAGGAAATGCTTTCTTAATTCAAAATCTAGATACAATTGGCACTCCCAGTTTTGGGGAATGAATAATGAATCAATGATGTTCCATTAAAGGAACAAAATGCCTTTCCTTAGGAACAGTCAGATGAAGAACACAAACAATAAAATCACTCTCAACCGATGCTGCTCTCATTTTTTTCAACCAAGGTTGGTTTGGGTGTCTTTTTCCTGAGCCTATTCACTCCAGGTTTAAGATCTGTCTAAATTAAATATATTATGCCACTGACTTACTTCTTTCTTTATTAAATTTTTCCTAAAGATTTTATTTATTTTAGAGAGAAAGAGCACACTCTGCGAGAGAGCGTGCAAGAGAGCGTGAGCAGGGGGAAGGGCGGAAGGGGAGGGAGAGGGACAAGAAGACTCCACGTTGAGCCTGTCCAGACTCAAGGACGAACTCAATCTCACAACCCTGAGATCATGACCAGAGCCAGAATCAAGAGTTGGCCTCTTAACCAACTAAGGCACCCAGGTGCCCTTTGTTTATTACATTTTTAAAAATAGGTTTATTCCTTTCTTCCGAAGTTATTTCATTCATCTACGTATATATTTTTTTAGGGATACTCTGCATTAGTCCACGTCAGTAAGTACAGATGCATTTTCTTAACAACTTAGATTATTCCATTATATAATTGTGCCATAATTACTTAACCATGCTTCTAATAAGGGGCATTTAGGTTTTTCTGTTATCCTGTTGCAAAAGATGAGGCGATAAATAATCACTGTATTGGATCATTTTGAATTTGTGAATTTACATATAGGACTAATTCCAAAGAGTGGAATTGCTGGGATAAAAGGTGTGTATATTCTGAATTTTGGTTCATACTGCGAAATTATCCTTCCAACAAGGTTAATCACTATAATTTCAGGTGAGGTTGAGCATCTTTTCACATGTTTAAAAGACATTTGTATATATTTCTCTCTCTTTTTTTTTTTTTTTTAAAGATTTTATTTATTTATTTGACAGAGAGGGAGACAGAGAGAGAGGGAACACAAGCAGGGAGAGGGGCAGAGGGAGAAGCAGCCTTCCCGCTTAGCCGAGAGCTCAACATGGGGCTCAATCCCTGGGCCCTGGGATCGTGACCTGAGCCGAAGGCAGACACCCAGGCACCTCAATATTTGTATTTCTTTTTCTGTGACTTATTTATAATCTTTGTGATTTTTTTTTCTTTTGATAGTTAAATTTGTACTTCTCTGTAGGTTTTGGCTTCCTAACTAGAAAGTCTCTCCCAACTCCAGGATTATGTTTCTTAAAATCTTTATATATTTTGGACTTCCTGTTTGGTTACATTGCTCTATTAAATGAAGTACTAATACTGTGCTGCTGCTACTTTTATTACCCTTACTCTGTATGTTTTACTATTTGATAGTACTAGTTACCTTTCATCACATTTTTCTTGACTATTTTTGTTTGGTTGTTTTTCTGTGAGAACTTAAAATTAGCTTGTATAGCTTCTTTCTCCTGATGTTAGTTATATTGTTGTAGGATTACATTGTATTTTTTTTTTTTAAAGATTTTATTTATTTGTCAGAAAGAGAGAGAGAAAGCACACATGCAGGCAGAGAGGCAGGCAGAGGTGGAGAGAGAGGCGGAGCAAGAGGCAGGCTCCCCGCTGAGCAAGGAGCCCGATGCGGGACTCGATCCGAGGACCTCAGGATCATGACCTGAGCCGAAGGCAGCAGCTTAACCCACTGAGCCACCCAGGCGTCTCGGATTACATTGTATTTATTGGAGAAGTTAGGAAAAGTTGACAATCTTTAAAATATTGAACTTTTCAAGATAGTTGTATGCCTTTTCATTTGTTCAAGTCTTTTATATTCCTCTGAAGTTAATACTTTTTCTCTTTATAAATCCATTGTTCAAAAAAAATTTTTTAAGATCTATTTATTTATTTGAGAGAGAGAGTAGGTGTGTGTGCATGATAAGAGCATGGGATTAGAGGGAGGGGCAGAGGGAGAGGGAGAAGGAGAGAAGCAGCCTCCCCACTGAGGGTGAATCCATCTCACCACCCTAAGATCATGATCTGAGCTGAAATCAACAGTCAGGGCCTTAACTGACTGGGCTGCCCAGGCACCCCATTTGTTTTAAAATTTTTTCATATATTGTGAACACCAAAAAGTGTGTTCCATTGTGTCATCAGAAGAGAAATAATGGGAAAAGTTTGTTTTGTGCTTACATAGAACTGATGTGTGCATACCTAGAATGTCTTGAAGTTTTTATTGGGCATGTACAGAGCCAGGGAGGATGTTATGGAGCAAGGAGCAGTTTTAATTGCGGCAACTAAAATGATTGTGGGGAATAGCTCTCATTTGAAAAATAGATGAGAATCAGTTTTTTCGTATTTGAGGGCTGAAGACTCTTAGAAGGACAAGGCTTAAGGAGGATATGTTCACATTTTGTTAAATTATGAGTGGTGTAGATAGGTGACTACAGTCCTGACAATTCTATAACACGGTAACTCTGGAATATACAGAATAGATTTAAGACAAAGGCAAATGCTAAACTGCATTCCAGCTCCTATCTAACTTTTACTCCAAAGGCAATACAAGCTAAGAAAGTTTAAGAACAGTTTAGGAAAATAAGGAAGATGTGAATATTTGGGGGCTCATCCCCAGCCTCTGCAAGGGCTAACATGGAAGTTACCATGCCCTTCCACAGACTACCTTCTCTGCCATTATCAGAAACACTATGCTGAAGATCAGTTCTATCCAAGAGAGTTCCTTGTTCTTCCTTTGTGATTTATTTTCTCCTTCCTTCATCTTTCCCTAGTTTTTTTGGAAATGATACCATTCCAGCACCTTTTATTGAATAAGGGCTTTGTTTTACTTCAAGTTTTCTTCAGTTCACATCTTCATAATCATAGTTTCTATTACTTCTCTTTATGTAGCTCACTCTACACTGTTGTGATATTCACATTCAATTACTGCATGATTTCACAGAATAGGCCTGGTTTCTATTTAGTACAGGCCTCTTTACTTCACCCCTTCCCCAATAAAGGACAAAGAGATTTTTAGCAAATCACATATCAGAGTTTTTTATTGTTTTAATGAATATACTTTCAGCTGAAATTTATTACAGACTATGGTTATAGGACATTTATGAAAAATTAGAATTCAGTTAGACCTATATATACTTCTAAATGAGTAGTTTAAAAGCTTCAGAAAAAAAAGAAACTTAGTCATCTGCTGTTGCCACAAAGCACCCCATTTGAAATTTCATAAATCTATTGCGAACTTGTAAGAGACTTAACAATTTTCAAAAAACTAAAAATGACAATTGTCCTTATATCATCTGAACACTTTTATGTTTGTTTTGAGAGGGACCAAGATCTGAAATGAAACCTGAGCATTTTTCTGTGAAACCTGGGTTTTTATTGAAGAAAATTTCCATGACAAATGGCATGTACATCTCCTACTTGTTAACCTTCCTGTAGAGTGCATTATGCGGCGCCTAGGTGGCTCAGTTGGTTAAGCAGCCAACTGTGGATTTCGGCACAGGTCATGTTGGGGTCCTGGGATTGAGCTACATTTTGAGCTCCACACACTGTGTGTAGAGTCTGCTTGAGGATTTGCTCCTCCCTCTACCCTTCCCCCCACTCATGCCCTCTGTCTCTCTGTAATAATGGATAAATAAATCTTTTTAAAAAAAGATTTATGTACGGGACGCCTGGGTGGCTCAGTTGGTTAGGCAGCTGCCTTCGGCTCAGGTCATGATCCCAGCGTCCTGGGATCAAGTCCCACATCGGGCTCCTTGCTCGGCAGGGAGCCTGCTTTTCCCTCTGCCTCTGCCTGCCATTCTGTCTGCCTGTGCTCGCTCTCTCTCCCGCTCTCTCTCTGACAAATTAAAAAAAAAAAAAAAAGATTTATGTACTTACTTAGACTGTAATTGAAGTAGATTGCTATTTTTGAAAATAATTTTTAAATGACTGTTTTCTCTTACAGCTATGTCTGGTGAGAACAGAGAAAATACACTGTTTTATTCTGAAATTCCCAAAACCATCAACAGAGCAGCAGTCTTAATGCTCTCTTGGAAGCCTCTTTTGGATCTTTTTCAGGTAGGATTAAACACTGCTATTCCTGTGATTGGTATACATTTTCAGATACTGCCTTTACTAAGAGGCAGAAATTCAGGTGGGGTTTTATACTTGACATAGATGTGAATCAAAAAGAATTAAAGTATATTTATATTTTTGAATGTCTAACTGTTAAAGTCCATTTAATTCTCAACATCTGAAACTAAGGGGTATTATAATTCTGATTTTTAAAACTGACTTCCCCCTGTCTTACCACCTTTCTTTCCATAAACTTGTTAGTTCTATAGTTCTCACATTTTGAGGTAAGAGTTCATATTAAAAAAGTAATTATATTTCTAGAAAGCTTTTTATTTAAATCTTTAAATTGAATTTATAGTTCTGATTCTTAGTAACAGTGCTAACTTAAGGGTTAAGAAAAGGTACTAAGTTCAGTTTTTGTTTATAAATGTAGAATTCAGTTTACCTAGAATCAAAGCTTAAGAGTTATTTTTGTTTAGTATTGTTTTTTCCCCTCAATATTTTATCTTTAGACAAAAAGCAAATAGTCGAAAACACCCCAAGAACAAGATAATAATTTGGGTGTAATTGTTTGCCCATTTGGTTCTCATTTATTATTTTACATTGAGTATTTCCTTATTAAACAGTGTTTTAGGTTAAATGAACCAAAATGTGATATTAAGAATTAAAAAAATAATTTCCATGGTAACTAATCATTTTGACTGTAACTGTTTTTCAGGGCTGTTGTTTTTCCCATAGGCTTATGACTTTTCTTTAAAACAGAAAGAACTAAAATAATGGTAGTTTCCTCATGGAACAGTTTGGAAATTAAGAAATCAAAGTTGTATTTTATTTTAAACTTTTATTATGGAAAATTTCAAACTAATAGAGTCATACGTGATTATCAGTAATTATCAAATCCTGGCCATTTGCATTTCATTGTAGACCTGCCAGTCCCCCCACGTAGTCTCTAGCCGTACCTCTTGGATTATTTTGAAGCTGAGCAAGATAAGTTGTTTCATTCTTAAATAAATCAGTGTGTGTCAAAGGGTACAGATTCTTTTTAGACATTATCACAGTATCATTATCATAACTTACACAATTGTTAATCTTCTCTTCATATGAAATATTCAGCTAATGTCCATGTTTCCCTGATTTTTAACTATAATTTTTATACTTGATTTGTACTAATCAAGATCTAAATAATATTCATATTTTACAATTGATTAATAGGTCTGTTTTAATTTATTGATTTACCCTCCATCCTTTTTTTTTTTTTTTTTTCCCATTGCACTTAATCTGTTAAAGAAATGTCTGTTTTCACTGGTTGTTTATCCAGTGGTGGTATTTGATCTATTTTTTTGGTCCCCTGTATTTTCTGTAAATATGAATAGGTAGTTAGATTTAGAAACTTGATCAGACCCAGGTTTGCTTTTTTTGAAAGCAGGGTCTTGAAACATATTTGTACATGCATGTTTATAGCAGCATTATTCACAATAGTCAAAAGGTGGAGACTACCCAAGTGTCCATGGACAGATGGATGGATAAACAAAATGTTGTATATACATACAGTGGAGTATTACTCAGCTTAAAAAAGAAGGAAATTCTACATATACTACAATGTCGATGAACCGTGAACATATTAGGATAAGTGAAATAAGCCAGTCACAAAAGGACAAATACTCTATGATTCCACTTACATGAGGTACCTAAAGTAGTCTGATTCATGGAGATAGAAAGTAGAAAGTGATTGTCAGGGACTAGGGGAAGAGAACAATGGGGAGTTGTTGTTTACTGGGTGTAGAATTTCAGTTTTACCAAATGAAAAAGTTCCAGAGATGGGTTACACAACAGTATGAGTACACTTAACACTATTGAATTGCTTAAAAATAGCTGAGATGGTAAATTTTATGTTATATATATTCTGCCATAATTTAGAAGAAAGAATATTTCATAGATAAGGTATGCTTCCATCAAGAGGCATATAGAGCCTTATTTTACTTCTTATGATGATGGCACCCTTTGATGATTGATTAATTCATTAGGAGTTATAAAACAGTGATGTTTTATCGTTTTCTTCTTTATTTGTTAACTGAAATAATTCTATAAAAAGAAATTACTGTTCAACCACTATTCTGAGGTATGCACCCTGAGGTGTGGTTCATAATGAAAAGGCAGGATAAAGTTTGATTCTTTCCTTTTACTTACCATTTTCCAAATAATTTGTTTCCTGCAGTCCTCCATAGATGATCAGTTAGGGTTTTTTGGAGGGGTGTTTGGGTTTTTCTTGGTTTTGGGTTTTTTTTTTTGGTATGTTGATAAACTTATAGAGTAAACTTGTTTGATGTTTTTTGATACATTGATAATTATTCTTATTGTTCAAGTTGTCTTATTATTGGCTGGTGGCAGCCCCTTCAACTTGACATGTCAGATCCTTATGACATGTTCTTGCTAGTATGATGCTAGGCTAGTATGAAGTTACGTCTTATACATTGCCTCTCCCATGCCTGGAGTCAGTCATTGAGTGACTGATTATTGAATATTAAATCAATGAACTTTGGTTCCTGTAGAGGAAATTGGTAGTAAGAGACCATGATCTGGGTACTAGGGGCGTTCATTATTATTGGGTTGGTAATTGTTTCTGGGCTTTTTTTATTGAACACACTAGGGAATATATAGATATTGTGTGTGTGTGTGTGTGTGTGTGTGTGTGTGTGTGTGTTAGAATTGTAGGTATCAGTATGAATCCATATCAATTCAGATAAATTCTAAGTTCAGACTGATACATCTGATTCAGATTTTACACTACAGGATTTTTCTTCAACCTCATTTATCGTACATATGAATCTCCTTTCTCTAATGCCAAAGGTCCCAGTTTAAACAACAACATAATTACTCATTTGCTTTACCCCATATTACACACTCAACAGTTTCAAAATAACAAAGGGGAAAAAAATAACAAAGAAATCAACACTGTGATTACTTACAAGAGTAACTTAGAATTGTTCTATGTGGTTATGCCACTGGTTCCGTATAGTGAAGTGCATTTGCTTCATTTTGTTTTCAAGTGGTGGAATTCCTTTATTTTTAATTGAATTTTGTTTTATAAAATAGTTACAGGATTCCAAATTCAAATCCACAAAACAAATCCTGTCTCCTCTACTCTATTTCCTTTCCTTTCCATCTAGATAGGCTTTTAGTTTTAAATAGCTTAGCCTTTTTTGGAAAAAATGTGAGTGTATAGACATTCATATCACCCCTTAGATAAATAATAACATACAATATACATTTTTTTCTACCTTGCAGTTTTCAAATAACATTGTATCCTTCAGACCACTCCATAGGAATCTATACATAATTTTTATTTCTCTTTACATCTGTATTGTGTTGTGCAGACTAATCATCTTCAACCAATTCCCTATTGATGGACATTTCAGTTATTTTCAATTGTTCTCTTACAAATAGTACCCTGGTGAAACCACCTGAGCATACAACTCTTTATATTTTTGCCAGTATGCCTTTAAGCTAGATTCTTAGAAATGAAATATCTGGACCAAAAGGTATATGCTTTCGTTATTTCACTAGAGAGTATCAAATTTTCCTCATTAGGAACTGTGCCATTTTGAATCTCCACTAGCAGGATATTAGTGTACCTGTTTTTCTACAAGTTCTCCAACATGATATATAATCAAGCATTTCGATTTTTGCCAATTTGTTAGATAGAAATGGACCCCAATATAGTTTAATTTGTATTTCTGTTATAGATAAAATTGATCATCTTTTTATATGGTTAAAAGTTTCTTGCATTTCTTTCTCTCTGTATTGTTTATTCATATTTCTAACCCATTTTTCTACGGGGTGATGGATCTCTTCATTCTTAGGAGCCTTTTATATGTTGGGGATATTAACCTTTTGTCTGTGATTTGGTTGGCAGATATTTTTTCCAGGTTGTCATTTGTATTTTTACTCATTTTAGTGTGTGTGTGTGTGTGTGTGTGTGTGTGTGTGTGTGCCATGTGAAAGATTTTTGTATCTGGGCACCTGGGTGGCTCAGTGGATTAAGCCTCTGCCTTTGGCTCAGGTCATGATCTCAGAGTCCTGGGGTCGAGCCCTGCACTGGGAATCTCTGCTCAGCAGGGAGCCTGCATTCCCCCCCCACCCCACCCCCCCTGCCGCCTCTCTGCCTACTTGTGATTTCTGTCAAATAAATAAATGAAATCTTTTTTAAAAAAAAGATTTTTGTATCAAATTTATCATCTTTATTGCTTCTAGAATTTGTGTCTTCTTGTCATTGTTAGGACAGTTTTCCTGTACCCCCAAATTATAAAAGAATTCACCAGTGTTTTCATCTGGTACTTACATGGTTTCATTTTTTAAAGCTCTGTTGAGGTAGAATTGACATAATAAACTACAAATATTAAAGTATACAATATGATAGATTTGGGCTTATATATGTACCTGTGAAACCATTACCTCAGTCATTACCCACAAAAGTTTCCTTGTACCCTTTTGTAGTCTCCACCTTCCACCCATCCCCAAGCATCCATGGTACTGGTCTTGTATAGTCTTTCGTAAGTATTATCTCTTAAGTATTTCAGATTTTTTTATTCTATTGTAAATGGTATTTTCTAATTTCAGTTTCTTGTTGTTCATTGCCAGTATTTAGAAATACAGGTGATTTTGTATATTGATCTTATCCTGCAACCTTATTTAAACTCTTTTAATCCATTAGATTTTTTTTTAAAGATTGTATTTATTTATTTGACAGAGATCATAAGTAGGCAGAGAGGCAGGCAGAGAAGAGGCAGAAGCAGGCTCCCTACTGAGCAGAGAGCCCAATGCGGCCTAGATCCCAGGACCCTGAGATCATGACCTGAGCCGAAGGCAGAGGCTTAACCCACTGAGCCACCCAGGCACCCCTAGTTCCTTTAGATTTTTGTAGCCTCCATTAGATTTTTTTATATAAACAGTTATATTGTCTCTAAACACTGGCAGTTCATTCCAATATGGATGCCTTTTATTTC